TGCAATAGGATATTATTCAAAAGTGTGATAATTCAACTTTAATAACCATATAGAAAATTCCTTTTGTATAGGCCACCATACACAAATTTCACCACCTTGATTCTTCGTACAATAAAAAAAACGTATTCGTCTCGAAATACAACTAAAAATATCAGAATTAATTAAATATCTCAGATTACTTTTCAATTTAATGTAATTGTAGACAATTTAATGTTCTAGATCATTCTCAGTATCCCCAGTGGTATCGCTCCGTTCTACTCCACTGGGGATACCGAGAATGGTTTTAGATTAATTTAAGAATTTAAGACCGTGTGCCCTTTTTTTAAAGTCTCTAAACTTCGATTGAGTACCGGTAGTCGGGAGATTATCTACCGCTGACATTTAGGTTTTGTTTTTAAATATCAATTAATAATCAATTTCGGTATGTAAGAGCTAAATTCTTTTTTTAGACCTGGAATGTTATATAAACTATTAATTAGACAATTTATTTAACAAAACAAGAACATAATCAACTCTCGGTGGCATCGGATACTCGAGATTTTAACTAAATTAGAACGGTTCGACATTTAGAAATTTAATTTAAAAATGGGAAAGCGCGGCTAAGTCTCGAATATACCAGTGTCGTGGTTACCACAATGTACACATCTTGTCAAAGCTACAAACAGTGATAACTTGGCTTAGAAAGAAGTAATTTGAATGACATTTTCAATAGTTTCATTTGACATTATCTATTTTTGATCTATTATAGCAAATATGGTCAGTTCTTAATTTAAATCTTACATATTGTATCTTTAAATAGTATAATATCAAACTCACCAGTAATATATCTTCTCAAATGGTTCTTAAATACTAGTGACTTTTGACTAACAGTTTGTGTTTAGTGTATTCAGCAAAGTATCAAGTAGTTATTATAAGTGCTTCAATTGATCCTCGTCATTGTGCCTATATTTAATAAAACTTAATAGCTAAGGTGGTATGTTAAAGGTATGTTCCATTTAAGCTATTTACAGGGCGTATAACTCTATTTCTTGGACCCTTATATAGACGAAAATAGACCAAAAAGCACATGTTAATATAATATGAATGTATATAAAATGATTTACATTCATTTTTGTTTAACATTTTATTGTAATTTCAAATCAAATATGTTCAGTGAAATACGCGAACAGACCAAATTGAATGACAATCATTTGCGCCTGCTTAGCCAAATCTACACGGCCTTTTTATTATTATTTTGTGACTCAGTCAATTTTAATTATTTTCACATTGCCTTTTAGGGTAGGCTATGTTTTTCTTTAATCGAAACTATTTAGAGTACACGGTGTACTGTACGGATTTTAAAATGTTGATTGTGTCTTAAATATTGGATATTGGGATACACATATTTTCACGGTCAGATAACAACATCAATATTGGTTGAAATGGAGCAACATTGAAATTTTAATTTCGAATAGTATTTAAAATATTGGGTTTGAGATTTTGGCCCTTTGAACATATTGTTTTAACTGACACCGAAAATGACAATTTCGTGTTTTCTTTACATCTATTCGTAGCAACCGGTTGGTCATGTCACTATCAGATGGTTCGTAATCAGTTATATACCTACATACGTACAGCATTCATTTGACCACTGATGTGATCACAATATAAAACATGCTTTACTTGTGATGAACTTAAAACAACTGAGTGTTACAGTAATTTATTGTTTGCTGGGTTAAGACTAACTCTGTAAAAGCTTTGCTGGGATGGTTTCTTTAAGAACGTAATATAAATATAACTCCCATGTACGCGGTTTCTTGTGACGATCGGAATGTATTGTAACTGGATGTACCAAATAAAAACTTAAGTAACGACGCGTAATTTATATTTTTCCTTTGCTTAATCCACGCTAATATGTACCCAGATTGATTATTTAACATTTAATAAAACTAAATGAAAATACCAACGCCGGATAAACTCCCAACCGGGATTCAATCGGATTTCAAACAAGCTTATTTTTAATTTTGTTAGCCCATAATAAAATGGAGGAGGGCTTATTGAATAGCGAGCAGCATGGATCGATGAAATTTTAAATCAACATATTTTTTTTTGTAAATACCAAACTAAATTGAAATATATTCGGAATGATATTCCTGTTAGAGATGAATCTTGCACAATATTGTGCAAGGGATTCCCATTGTACAATAATGACGCAATAAGACTTACATGTAGGACATTTTTGTGTGCAAAATATAAACGAAGTATGTAAATTCTATTAACTTGTATCGAGAAAAATAACAGGCCCCCCGTCCAACACCTCTGACAAGGGGGCAATGACCTTAATATCAATAAATATATATTTTATTTAATCTTTAATTAATGATTAGACATAAAACTGGTTATTTTATCACTAACAATTGACAGCTCCCAGATTATTTATTTCTCGTATTGTTTTAAATATATTGTAGTGTATATTTGTACTTGTATATTTCACTCCCATGATTCAATTATAAATACCGATTTTATAGTCGCCAGACACGATACGATAACCCATATTCCTGAAGCAATGGCCCTAGAAATCCCTCGAGCTTTTGAGGGAGTGTGTCTATTCTTCCCGTTCAATCAAATCTATCTCAAGTACAGCAACATGCCGGTCCTTCGATTTGATAGCCTCGTTTTAGTTTTTCTGCAATGTTCCGCTATGCACTGGTTAATTGGGCATAATAAAGTCATGACGTAACGTTATGTAAACATATTTGGTCCAATTTGGAGCTCTGTTTTAAGCGTAATGCTTTTGTAACGCAGTTAGGTATTGGTTGTTAATCGGACCATTGACCAGTCATAATTTGGAACAGAAATTTGCTTTCGTTAAAGCAGTGTTAAGTGGGATTAGGTATAATCAAACGAAACACCGCGAGGAGTATGCGATAACCAGGACAGTCACTCTTCTAGCTCGACGTAGTGTTCCATGTCCATTATGATTTCCCAGCAGCAACTCGTCAACCTCTTTAGTGGCTCATTAAGTAGGACACTGGCTCTCTAACATGGATGTCGCGTGTGTTATCCTTGCGTTGGCCGAGAAAGATCATTCGAAGTAAGAGTAGGCCGTAACCTCGTTGTCCGGGCATGGTGCATATATCCGTCTTCATTAGCCCAGTAGTAGCAGAACAGTAGGAGGTTAAATCCCATTTCATTTCCAAAGAATTCAAAATTTGTGCTGTTCTGAAGGAACTTCATATATTGCCAATTGTAGTCCGATGCCAATTCAAGCTACTTGTACTGGTGTTTAAGTGTCTCCACAACCTTACCCTTGCCCACCTTTCTTAATCATTACAGTCTCAAACTTCATCATACAATGCAAGATCGACATCAACATTTTTCTTTTACATGAATATCCAAAATATCCGTTACTACAAACGATGAAAAATTACTTCCTAACGACGCAAAAAAATTAATTATGCCCACTATTCGTATCAGGATGGGCAATCATAATCTACCTTGGATATTTGTGGACTTCCTCAAATTGTTTGGATAGTCAATAGCAAGAATAAAAATAAATACTATATCTTTGATTACGCCTCAGAAATTAATACGTACAGTACTTGTGTATGACCATGTCCTTCCTGAAGGCTAAGCATAGAAAATAACAAATTATTTCTTATAGAAATAGTAAGCTTGAAGGAGGTCACCTGGAAATTGATTGAAAGTTGATCTAGGAAGCATTCATCATGTATCATTGTTCAAATATAAAACAGACAGAACATTGCGTTATTAGCTCTTGTCACAAAAACTAAAGACTGCAGATCTGTTTTAGAGAGCGTTTCAAATCAACCTAAAACCAAGTATAAATAGTATTTATTATTCCCAACTACGGTCAATAACTTTACGGACGATACTGAGTGCACATTTTGTCGTCGTTCTGCAAACTGTATATCGAGGATATTGGTTAGGATGTCCAATAATGCCATTAGGATGGTCTTCATCTAGAATACACATTGTTTCAAAGAAAGTTATAGCGCCAATGTTGTTGTGATTTTGAAAGAGTTGAAACAAGATCGCCATTTATAAATTGAATTTAAAAATGGATATTGTTTGTTATCGTAACAACGGTAGCAATGAAAATCGAGAATGAAGTAACTTGACTGCAATTTTCAACATATTCCTTTTTAATTATCTATTTTCAAACTAGTATAGTGATAAATGTTACATAATGCACTTTAGGACGTATATTTGGCATTAGGTCAACAGAGTTCTGAATTTCCTGTCGGATAATGTTTTGTAAGTGTATAGGGGGACTGCACTACACGCAAACAAAACCGAAAAGACAACCTTGCGGGCATTAAGGACACATACTAAACAGGCATTGTAAGCAATAAACAACAAATATCAAATTAAATGAATAGACGCTGTTGGCATTAAATTCAGACATAGATGATAAAAGTAACAACAAGACTGCTGTCACCGTTGCTAGAAAACTTTACAATACTTCCTTGAAATATGGTGGGAACGGATGTGGAACTCACGAATCGGTAACATCACAAGAGTTTCTGTACTGGCCACGCCCTCGCATTATTATAGTCGTTGCGTTGAACATCAGTTACTCAAACATATTCCCCATGCAAAGCCCAGTTGCTATAATATTAATTTGTATCAATTTGACTGACATTAGGATAGACGGTATTTTGTTTTTACGTCTGCTCCACAGATCACTTCGGCAAATTCTGATTTAGCTGAACGCGTTATTTGCCTGAAGAATAACATAGCCTGATGTTTGTCTGGTTCGTCCGCGTTGATCTGTTTTCAGTTGGAAGCATTTACTCATTGGGTGGCCATACAATTGTTTGATAAACATTTTGATCTTAGGCATAGTTCAACTAATATGTTAGCTTGGCATCAAGAGAAATTCCTGGTAAAACTACCACAGGTAATAATGTGAAATTATGATAACGATACCCAAATAGAGAACAATCTGAACATGCATAAACGATTTTTCAGACAGTTTCTTGATGATACAGACTATATATTTTTTTATTTCATTTTATTTAAATCTATGGTTATACAAAACTTTATAAAATACTTAAAAGTTAAATATTTCAGTGCATTCGAATGGATATAGTGGGTCGGGTTGTTGTTTTACTGTTTGGTTATTGTTATTGTGAAACAGTCTTCATAATTATGACGGTACGTGAATTAAAAGCCTAGGCTACTTGGTCTTTCTGTTTACAAACGGATCAACTTTCAACAAAGATATAGGACTCAGAGTGCGAGTTATAAATAGACAATTTTTTCCTTAATTTTTTTCTCCCTTCTTCCTGCATTTTTTGGTTGACTTTTTGGTCTAGAATTGGAGAAAAGGGATCAAATTTGCAATTTCATAGCAGTTTTGGGTAATACTGGTGATATTACAGCGGAGGGATAGGGGGTGTAAAGTGTCTTTCTGCAGAGCAATCATAGTGTCGGAAGTGAGATTTTCACCCCAGTCAACTTCAAATCCCCGTACCAAAAAATCTAAACGGTCAACCCCCTGGAAAATTATGATGAGGAGATTGCCAAATGTGGTCCCCATTGTGCCTATAAAGATTAGAACCAACGGAATGTTGAGCAAAAAGCTACAGCCTGTGATGTTACAGCCATTTAACATTGAAGTCAATGGGCAAATAATTGCTAGTCTGAGCCCTGATAAGGAATAATAATGTGAGTTATCGCCCTTATTCGCAATTTGACTGGTTGTGTATGATTTTATATAAGCTTTCCTTAAAATAACCCAATATTTACTATAAATTCTATAAATACTATAAAACACCGTAGCTATACATAATAAGCAAATATAGATAATAAACCATATAGTCAGGGGCGTGTTCAGGAATTTAAGCAGGGGAAGTGGGTGGGGGTCTGTGATGGCGACAACGTCAAGTTTGACGTGGGTTCTGGGGAATCACGATATAATTTTATAAAATATGTCTGCGCGTTTAGATGCATACATGTATAGAATTAGATTGGAGTGGGGCCAAAACGACGGCATTATTTTGGTGGATGTAGATGAAAAAAATGATATGTGCGATCAAGGGGGACAGCCATCCCCGCCATTGGACAAGCGCTTGATAGTATACAATACATGATCTGTAAAATAATTATTAAGCACTAATACGTATTGTTATAAAACTAAATACCTATATTACTATGAGAAGTCAATTTATCAAAAACGTAATGTAAATATACACATAAATAAATCACAAATAATATATAAACGACTGCAAGATTATAAATATCACTAACTTTTGGGCGTGTCTCAGATGTCATCAAATTGCCGCAAAAGGGTTATCTATCTTTAAAAATGTTAAACTGGTCCTGGAAGGCACAAAGTCTACCGCAACGTTAGTGTATGGAAATCCGTCAAGAACGAATCCAAAGGGGTGGTGTCGTTTTTTTCAAACAGTACCCAAAAGAAAAGCAAATAACAAAATATTTAGTAAACTTTTCTCAATATAAAGAGCAAATGAGCCCTTTTGCAGTGATTTTTAGAAAGTCTTAAAAAACATGGTTCCTAAAAAATATTTGACTCTCTACATTTAAAGGATCAATACCACTCTTATTGTAACTGAATAATATGTCCAAATCTTTATTCTGGTCAACAAATTGTACTATTTTAGAATATTTCAATTAATTGATGATACAAATTTCATCTTAACACACCTTATTTAAAAATTTTGAAAAATTCAACATAATGGTTTGAAACGTCTAACGTGCACCTTTTCAAATGAAACTTCGATTTAAAAATATTTTCGAACCCTCTGGACAAGTAAAATAGGATGTAATGGATAATTTACACAACAGGTAGGACACTTAAACATCTAGTACTTAGATAGAGATATTATTTATTTTCTGGAGCTTTCAAGCCAGCAAGAGTGTTATTGTCCCTTTAAAGACGTCATTTGATATCCAACGTTAACTTATAGTGAATGTGCACTTTGGAATTAATCGTTTAAAGTTATAACATTAATAATATATAAAATAATCTAAATAATGCCATAATGTCTGATAATTATTATCTATAATGTCTAATAATTATTCTAATAAAATTCGACCAACAAAAAAATATGCACGTTATAATTAATGGTAAAAAATTATAACATTTTTTATAATTAAAGAATAATCTAAATACATGTACTGAAATAACGTCTAATAAATATTATTGTGTAATAATCTAAATGGCCAATAAGTATCATCGTGTAATACTATTCTAATCAAATTCGACGTTAAATTAAAATATGCACGTTTGAATTAATAGTATAAAATTATAACATTTATAATTAAAGAATAATCTAAATAATGAAATAATATCGTGTAATAATATTCTACTATGTAAACTATAGCTTGCCATTGAAGAGAGAAGGATTGGTGTTTAACGTCCACTAGACACAACGTCCAATATGCACGTTAGAATTAATAGTATACAATTATAACATTTATAATTAAAAAATAATCTAAATAAGGAAATAATATCGTGTAATAATATTCTACTATGTAAAAAGATAAGTTGCCATTGAAGAGAGAGAGGTTTGGAGTTTAACGTCCACTAGACACAAACTAGGTCATTTCGTTACTAACATAATAATATGGTTCAATTTCATTTCAATAATTCGCTTGCGCGTAGTATCTTTGACAGTGGGATTAAACCGGAGAAATACCACGACCCCACTCCTTGTCATGTTCAAGCGACGAATCGAAATCACGCCACTCTTAACCACTAGACCCCCCCCCCGCCCCCGCGAGACAACGAAACATGCGCATATCGGCAGTTGAAGATGCATTATGTGAGAGCTAAATTTGCATTTAGCTTGAAATTTTCTATACATTAATATTCAGATATTTATTCACACTTAGTTATTTAACTTTAAAATGGATAATCGAGACTTTATTATCGTAGCAATGGTACTTGGCATGTTCATTTTCTATTATCTATTTTGGAACTATTATAGCAGGAACTTTCAGCTCTTTACCTTAATCTTACATACTGCATCATAAAGTGGTCGGTGCTGTGGTGTTTATAGATACTTTCCAAATAAAGACTTTGACTTTGGTGACAAAACAAACTTCTGTTGAATATATGCGCGACTTTGAATATCACTTGGGTTCATACTTATCACTACGAAAACAATTACAGCAAGTTTGAAGAAAAAATCTCAAAACACCCCTCCTGTTAAAGAGACCATGGAAGCGGTCACTGACTGGGGTAAAATCTCCGTACTTCAAACAGAAAATAACTGAAAAACAATGACTTTCATGTTGGCAATACCGCAAGCAAACAAATTTAATCTTAAAAAAGAACTAACACCTATAAGTAAGATGGGGGAATGGGATTAAACTAATAAAAAAACAAACTGCAAACAAAAATATCATGTCCCCCACTTCAATCCCAAAATAAATAGATGACAATCATTAATTACCTGGCATAATGCTTGCGCACATAACCATAGAAACAAGTCAACGGTGAGATGATGTCCTCCGCCTTTTCAAAATTAATTGCACATTTATCCTTTTTATTAAACATAGGACAATCAAAGCGGTAAATGTTTATATATGCACGCAATAAACAATTATATACCAAGTTTGAGCATTATATTTAAATGAGAAGCAACGTTAGTGTCTTTCAAAAAGTGTTATTGACAGACCGAGAGACAGACACACGAACTTATTTGAATAGTCCACTGATTTTCCGAAAGGCGGGGAGAAAACAATAAATTGCGCATTGATCAAGACGGAAGTCCGACTCCAATATTTCGAACCAAGAATGACCAATCTGTTGTAGTCATCCTTTTACAAAGACAGTGATAAGCAAATAATCTTAAGCAGATGGATTTGGTTCGTCTTCCAGATTTTCATACAGATCATCTACTGATGGAATATATGCAGTGTTGTCATAGTCTGCAATAAACAATAACATCATGCTTGTCAAACAATACATTAACTAAAAGATCAATATAATGATGCATTATCTAAGCGATAAATCTCCCTATTACAGCTCTTTCTGTTGAATGTTATCTGATCTGAAAAGCCCATAAGCAACTCTATGGACCATCGTGTTGCTCCGAGACAGTCACACGCCATGCAGTATGCCATGAGGGAGATTCAAATTCAAACATATTTACGATAGTTATGATTAGCGAAAAGTCAATCCGCGTTGGATACATTTCCTCGAAACAGCAAGTAGCATCTTCTCGAATAGTGTTTTGTGTATGTACGCCTTTTCACAGGAAAAGTTACAAATTGACCAATTACCTGATTGTTTGTTTTTGTTTTTGATTTTGTCTCGGCCTTTGTTGGTGCTACAAATAAAAATACAGGTAAAGCGTCAGTTTATCAATTTATAGAACAGGACAAACAAAGAATTTTTATTTTATATCCTTACATACGTATCTGCTAAATAGAACAGGGAGATCATAGAATTTTCTACAACGTCTATGTAATCCATTGACGGTATCAGTTTTCCGGAAATATGGACTATATTGATACCTATTTGGAACTGCATATTTTACCTCGATCGGTAGAAATAAACAAATTAAATAAGTTTTTGTGCAATTATATAAACTGATATTTGTCCAAGCACAAAGAAACAGAAAACTAACCTCTTTGTCTTTACATCTTTATCTTTAACATCTATAAATAGATATGTATACCATTGATTGTTAATATGAAACAACAATAATCTTTATATAGATATGTACATCGTTGATTGCTAATAACTAAGATGCAATAATCTTTAAATATATTATGTGTATCATTTATTATTTATAATTAAGCTTTTGAATTTTATTGCCAATACCGAACGTAATATATAAACGATCGTTAATTGCTCATATTGATGTTCTGTTATTTTTTGTGACTTGTAGCATATAATATTGTGCCTAAAACGATTGAACGTCACGCTATTTGCACGTGTTAATTTAAACACAACCTAGCAATCAATTAATTCATGCGTGTTGTAATATCTACACTGTATTACTTACCTCGCGATTTCAGAGTTCTAGTAACTAACAAAACCACGCCCTGTACCAGGAGAGTGATTATAACTCCTACAGCGATACCAATACCCAATCCAGCTGCGCTGATAAACGACTGGGTGGTTGATGGATTCAAGTCTGCAGCTTTGTTAGTACAGTTATGTTGTAGAGCATCAACTATTTGGGTCTCTGAATTCTGTTCTTCGGCAATAGAATTGGATGTAGGTGCTGGATTTACGTTTAATGTGAACACAACAATAAATACTTTCCCAGTATCATTAATATGAACACTGTATTGTCCAGCATCTTGTAGACGAACTTTGTTGATTTGAAGATAGATGTTCCTGTTTTGACCACCGACGTCTGACCAACTTGCTCTAGATCCATAGTTGTATAACTTGACCTCAACTTGTGATGATCGTCTGTACCAGGTGTAGCTTGGTCTAGGATATCCAGAATAATACGCGCGTAAATAAGCATAAGATCCAAAAGTAGCATTAACTGTTGAGGTTGTTTTGTCTCGTAGTAGATTCACTGGACCTAAATAAACAAAACCCGAATTTTTAAAATATTCACATATTCATAAGGTATTTCCAGGTTCGCTTTACTTTTGTTTAGCTGCAGTTCAGATGATAGAAAATATTTTCTAAAGACGATCAAATATAAAAAATATTCGATGTCAATTATTAATTAAAGATGCACTATGTAAGATTTAGATAAAGAGCTGACCGCACTTGCTATAATAGATAATGGAATGAATATATTGAACATTTTAGACAAATTGCACTATTCTGTGCGAAGTTACGATTGTTTGAAGTTGAAACAAATTGTAGCGAATAGTGTTTATTATAGTAGCAACGGTACTTGACTAAGTTTCATGGCCGCGGTGTTCTAATCTACTTAAGATCGTAGCCATCCGATGGCCCGGTGAGTTAATTATGGACTTGTCGCGTTAATAAATATTTAAATAAATAAATTATATAATAACATTGAAGCCAGACAAAATACCAGCATTAGGCAGATATAGCTCTTAGATAATGCATCTTTAATGGGGTGGGGTCGGGTTGGGGATAAAATAGTCATTCTAAAAAGATACGATTACTGATTTTACATCTTTGGTGTAATATAATCTAATAAAATATAATATTAAACAAAATCTATCATTGCAATCCATAATTGTAATCCAAAATCCATCAAGCATTATATTGAAAGGGAAATGTTTAAAATGAAAAAATAAATATATTACTATCTAAGGGTCAAAATTCACTTCAGTCAAAACGTCCATAATTTGGTTGCAGCAATTGCAGCGGGAACAACTCTGAATTTCGATATGGTTTATGTCAAAGAGAAGTTGAATAAGGTCAGCAAGATTTACAAAAATTAGACAGAGCGACGACAAGAACATGTGGGGGTATAAAGTATTCTTATCCCAACCGGGATAGTGCCTTGTTAATATGCGCCATCATGTTTTACTTTCATTATTACATATATAAAAATAGTTTAGTACACCATGTAATTATAATACTTACACTTTACATTGTAATACGCGTTTCTAATATAAACAGTACCATAACCATTATATACTGTACAGAGAAACCTGTGATCTGTACACTGTATCCTTGTTGACGCAGTTATGATTCTAGATGAAGACTTGGTAACGTATGTTAGATTTCCTTCTCTATTTTGACTTGATATAGAAACATTTACAGGTAACAATGTAGTATTGGACACGTTACATGTCAATGTGATAACTGTACCCACATTTATATTACTGCTAGAACTTGATGTAAAACTAGTAATATAAGCTCTTTCTGAAATATAAAATCAAACCATATTCTAAATAGATCTACACATCTCTTTAGGGGCCCATACACGTTCAATAATTCCGTCAATATTATTGACTCAATATATTGACTTAATAATATTGAACGTGTGTGGGCTATATTGATGTAAAATATTGTCAATAACCATCATTGCGTCAATATATTGACGGATCAAAACCATTTTGATTTTTATTGATGGTTCATCAATATATTGACGGACGGTCAATTTATTGAATGACAATATTGATCGTGTGTGGATAATCTGTCAATAATTGCGTCAATATTTTCATTCCATCGTCAACCTTGGAAGAGTAAACATGGCATCAATTTTGAAAAATGACCAAAAAATGATGAAATTATTGATAGAAATATTGAATCGTGTGTGGGCTATTATTGATTCAATATATTGAGTCAATATATACTGAGCGCCATGGAAAACGCATCACTTTTTTTTCCCAAATATTTTATTACTAGGTGGTTTTGTATGTATAATACTATTGGGTAAAATGCAAATACTTTTATTACGTGTTTTATATATTAATGGTTATTATGCTCAATGTACCCCATGACAGTTTTTATATTTGACACTCAGCAGTACAAAAATTGCACATCTAATGTTTCTTAACAATGACCAGCTGGATGAAGCGATGTGAAGAACATTCTTAAAAATAACAGTTACATTTTAATTTTTTTTCAACTGGTCTGGGCACGCCTCGGTTGTCATGTATAATCATGGGAACGTATATTATTATGAGAGGAAAAGAAATTGCCATTAGGAAAGCAGGTACAGGTCCCCTCTGTATCCACGTAGCGCAATTTGGTTTGTTACATAATTCCCAACCGTCGGCTTTTCCGGTAGAAAACGTGGAATAAGCTTTAGTTTGAATTTGATTTATTAAAATATGGAAGCGTATAGGGGTCAATAGCGCGATAGATACCGCAATATTACGTTCGTAATATGTCAACATATTGTGATTGTTCTGATGATTGTTCTGAAAAGACAATTTTTGCCTAGTTAGGGCCTAATTGAATAACTCGCTATGTTGTATATTGTCATTTCGTTTTAAATGCACACGTCGACATAGCGCTTGGTGATATTTTGCGAACATGTCGGTGAAATTAAATATGTTGACAAAGCTTCAGAATGGCAATATCTTAACGCAAACGTGCATATTTAAAACGAAATGACGACACACAAACATGTTGCATTGATTCAATTAACTCAGCAAAAATTGTCTTTTCGGAGATAAAATCATCAGAACAATCACAATGTGTTGACATATTGTCAACGTATTATTGCGTATCTATCGTGCTATTGACCCTTATACACTTCCATAGTTTAATGACAAAAAAGAAAAAAACAAAAACCATAGAACTGTACTGAGTCAACTGGCGTGGTTTCGAATCCCCGGTTGTACGTGACAAGGAGTAGGGTTGTCTGTCCAACCTAGTGGGTTTTTTCTGGGTCCTCCGGTTTCCTCCCACTGCTAAAGACCCCTAAAATTAAACCATATGTTAGTCCCGAAATGACCTAGTTGGTGTCGAGTGGACGTTAAACCCCATCATTGGCTGCACTTTCATGAATAAGCAATCTCGGGCAATGAAATTAAGCACGTGGTACATAACTGAAAACGGCGACATTATTAAGTCTATATATTGCATTAAAATATGACTTGTTGATTTAGAGTCAAATCGACTATTGGCATGATATAAACATATCGACATAGTTTTTGTCGTTTAGAGGTGAATTTAATGCGTCGAGTCGACTTATTAAGTCGATTTTTTGTAATATAACTCATGAAGTTGACATATTTTAGTTCGATCTGTTGCGATATTATCTCAATAAGTAGTGACCCAAATACGCTTCCATACTGTTAGCGGCCATTCTATATTCTCGACACAAGTCGAAAAAATCATAGAGTTTGGGAGCCGTGGTTGTTTTCAATGACACAAAGGTTAGCCTTGTTCTGATATTGGCCTGAGCGAAGAAGGGTAGTTGGAATTCGAAATAATAGTTGACCGTAGCTAAATACTACTTAGATCACTGCATGGCAATGATTAGTCTACATTATCCCGGAGGGGTCATGGTGGCTAAGTGGGTAAGATGCTGGCTTGCGTAGAGGTCTCGGAGAACGCTCATTGGTATTTTCCCGCGTGGTTTCCCCTTGTCCGTGGTGAAGGATGGGGGGGGGGGCTATCAAGGACATCTGTCTAGTCGTTCGGATGGGACGAAAACCCGATGTGTCGTGTACACATTGGCCTGTACGTAATAAAACCCTTGGCAGTTGGAATTCGATGTATGAGCAGGTCGTGCCGCTGCTGTCCTGGCAAAAAGTTCCCTGTATGGCGTATGCCCGTCTTCATTATCCCAGTAGGAGCAGAACAGTAAGAAGTTAAACCGCAATTTATTTCATTATCCCGGTTGGTGCAGACAAATAGAACGTTAAAACACATTTCATTTCGTTTGGGGAACAATATGTAGGCCACCACATCAGAGGCTTCAATTCTAATTCAAATATAGTCATAATATAATCTTACTTTCATAATCAACAGGGTTGACATTGTAAGTAGAGCTGTCTCTGCCGTGGTGACATGTCCACAACCCTTCTAACCGGTTCTCTCTAGCATACATTCTAATAGTTGATATTCCAGCTGTTATGTTGACATCATAAGTAGCATAGTAGTATGGCGCTGTTGTATTTATAAAACACAGACCAGCACTATATGGTGATATACAGGAGAAGTAAGTTATTCCATTATTGATCCATTTAACTTCATCAGTTACTGTACCAATATGACAGGTTAATGTAAAATAATCATTATATACTATTTTCTCCGGTTCGCTGGTTATACTTATTTCACCTGAAAAAACAAATATTAACAATTATTATCTGACAAATTTTATCAGTTCAATATGTCTTTATATTAAAATAGACTCTAAAACTTTAAATTTACTAATTCGGATTATATACAGCTGAATAAAGACCCATTTTCTTATTCTAAAAAAGACTATCGGTTAGGGACTTACATCACCAATTACTCCAACAAAAAGCTATTTTTTTTAAAGGGCAAATTGAAGCCAGTCATTATCATGGTAACAGAACTGGTTAAACACGTTCCAAATATTATTTTATCACAGAGATCATTGTGACGAACGCAAAAGGAAAACACGAGTTATCCCTCTATATAATTGACTGAAGTGACGAGTGATAACAGATACATGGGCGAATTTCTGCTCACTAATAATTCCCTGGAAGACCAAAAGTTGTTATGTGAGACTGTGAAAGGATATCTGACAATTCATAAAAAAAATTGACTGTCACTAGATAAGAGACCATGAAAGAAAAATAGAAAAAGTCCGTGCATTACCATGTTTTTATTAGTATACAATGAATAAACACACGTGAATGTACGAACTGTTTCTATTTTTCTCGTGTTCTCTTATCTAATGACATTCAATTACTTTTTTGAATTGTCAGATATCCTCTTACAGTCTCATATAACAACTTTTGGTCTTCTAAGTAATTATTAGTTAACAGAGATTCGCCCATGTATCTGTTATCACTCGTCACTTCAATTAGTTATATAAAGGGATAACTCTCATATAGCGACTTTTGCTCTTCGAAGAAGAAAAATGGGGTTTAACGTCCACTCGACACAAACTAGGTCATTTTGGGATTAACATATGGTTCAATTTTATTTCCATAATTCGCTTGCGCGTAGGGGTCTTTAGCAGTGGGAGGAAACCGGGGGACCCGGAGAAACCCCACGAGATTGGACAGACGACCCTACTCCTTGTCACGTACAACCGGGCTTTCGAAACCACGCCAGTTGATACAACGCGCACGTTCTAACCATTCAGCCATCCTGCTCTTCGAAGGAATTATTAGTGAGCAGAAATTCGCCAGTGGATCTGTTATCACTCGTAAGTTCAGTCAGTTATACAGAGGAATAACTCGTGTTTTCCTTTTGCGTTCGTCACTTCCGATTGTTGAAGCATTGATACGCATCTATCGTAGCAATAATCGCTGAGATAAAATAATATTTGGAACGTGTTTAATCTATCACATATGTGATAATGACTGGCAACAATATTGTCCTTTAAAGATCCGATTATCCACGAAGAGTTAAAAGACAGTGCAACATTAACAGCAAAGACACATTTTAAAAACTGACATTGTTGGGATATATTGGGACTATATTATTCGCGTCAAACCGAAAACTTTCTTGGATAATTAGCAACGCTATGTTGAAAAATACATCTTAAGTTGCATGAATATTTAAAAAGTCACAAATTTTAACAAGTAAGCTGTAAATTCTGTGAGTTTTAAATTGTTTGCTACTTACAGCATGGACCGCATATTGCATAAAAAGGAGTACCGATAAATTATATCGGTTAACATTCCCAATAAAAACCGTTATTGCACTTTATTGCACTTGAAATAGCACAACTGATTTTGGTAAACTTATACTTACCTTGCGTACCCAATACCAATATTGATGTAATTGTCATACAGACAACTATCAGTGCTGTCATCTTGGATATCATTCTTGTGATTATGACAACACAAGTCAACAGTAACGCCGATGTCTTCTGCCTTAATCCCAAAATAAAAGGATGCCACCTATTAATTACTTAATTTCATGTTTATTTTTTGGTGTACATGTTCAGTATAGGTAGTTTGATTTTCTTCTCTTTTTTTTATTATCATTATTTTATTTATTTATTATTTTTATTTTTTTTTTTATTTATTTTTTTTTTTTAATTAGTGGGATTGGGGTGCGGTGGGAGTATCAAATAGTAATTGTTCCGATTTATTAAATTATCTATTTTATTTAAATTATTATTTGGTAGATAGCGGGAAGGGGGAATGGGGTGGGGGCGATATCAAATTACTTGGTGGTTTTTTACTTGGTGATGATGCAATAGTTCTCGCGTGTGTAATATAGTTACATATATAAGGGTCTAGTTTGATTTTCTTTTTCTTTTTTTATTATCATTATTTTATTTATTTATTTTTATTTTTTAATTAGTGGGATTGGGGTGCGGTGGGAGTAGCAAATAGTAATTGTTCCGATTTATTAAATTATCTATTTTATTTAAATTATTATTTGGTAGAAAGCGGGGGGGGGGGGGCGGTATCAAATTAGTATATATATTCTTTGCTCTCTCCTTCTGATATATATATGTGCATAAATTTTCGAAGTATTTAGGGTAGTGATGTGTATTTGCACTAAGGGAGATGGGGGTATTTACACTCTATTGTTATTCATACTTTTATTAATTATCAATGTATATTATTTATATTTGTATACATGTTTTGGCTACAGCAAACTTTTTGCTTCGCCTGTAATAAAGTTCAAGTCAAGGTAAATAACTTGACTCGGTCTTATGAACAATTGAATTTTTTAGTGTTTTGGAAAACATTAACTTTGATTCTAATTAGGTGCTGTTTGTGACCTCCATCAAGATACATACCTTAGGAACCAAAGTTTGGACTTTCTAACTCAATAAGAAACGAAGTTATTGTGTTCTTAATGTTATTACGGGCACTGTTTGTGTACATGTTGGGTTATAAAGCATGAGATAAACAATTTGTTCTGGAAAACGTTTGCTTTGATTGTAACCGAGTATGCATGATGAACCACGTCAAGACACCAACCTTATAAACTTCTAAAACCAAGTTTGTATGTTCTACCTTATCTAAAAACATAATTATTGAGTCCCAAAAGGTCTGATTTATAAAGCATTGGTCCAATCAAATTTACCATTCTGTTTAATCTTAGCACGGTTATTACTGAAAACTGGTTGCAAGGTATTGATGTACTGAAACTATACTTCAGTATCATCGTATCCCAGTGCATTGACAAATCAAATTCTTTATCTCAATATAGTCTTAGCAGAACATATTTATCACCGTCCTCCATCAAGTTTAAATATTATATGTTAACGAGAAGCAGAGCTATTGTGTTCCCAAAGGTGTGGCTAAGTACGGGCAGTCGGACAACCTTAATGCTATTATGATAAAGTAAATTATAACTCCACATGTGCATACAACATTAATTGTGAAATACAATGTATTTTAAGTTTTACATATAGTTTATTATTACTACACATATTCATTCGTTACAGACGTTAATCAACCCTCGGGCTTGCTAGACTAGATGTAAATTAATTTCATAATTTAAAAAAACTCATTCAAGCTGTACTCTGAGACCAGACGGCGCACGCTCGCCCTTTTTTTTTACCGGGGCGTTCTCCCTTAGATGAATTTTACCTTGGACGCTACCGTGCAAACGGCACTGTGTCTTTATAAAGGAAGCGAGATCGACGGGCCTTCTAATCAATCTACGTCTCCATCACAAGCTGGACTAAGCCTATGTTGTGGCTTTTCCTGGGATGTTTCTTAAGAAACACTTGTCTGCAATATCCCCCCCAGGGTGGAAGTGGACGTAAAATCCCATAAAACGATGCAACATCTGCGATATCCCCTAAGGTAGAAGCGGGCGTTAAATCCTACGAACGATCGGTCGAACGAACGAACGCAACATCTATATTCAGTCTGGAAATAAATATAATGAAAAATTTTGCGTTCAACGGGAAATTAATATTTGGTATTATATTCAAATAATCTAGAATTACAATAGCGAGACGAAAGTTAGTTAGCTATGTTAATTCCTTGAAGAGGTGTCAGCAGTTCTCTAGCCAGTAAGCATACATTGCCTTGCCTTGTGTACGACACCCGTCAATACTTATAGATAACTGGAGCGATATTTTAGACCTGGATTTCAGAAGATATCACACTTGTTTTATTTAATAGTGTATAGGATATTGTAGAAAGCCTTCAGTCGGGCCAAAAGCTTTCAAATCACAGCATTGGTGTCAGTACGCCACGCCCAAAGTAGTAAGAGAAGTGTTTTAAGAGGTGTGGAAAACGATTGTGAGCACCCTCTAAAAGTTTGGCGGCTTATTCACTGATGGGATCAAGGCCTAGATGATGCCCAGTGCTTGCCCCATTCGCGTTTTTCGGTATAATCCAGTATTTTTCTAGTAAGATTGGGTGTCTACTTTCCATATAAACCAAATTTGACATACTTTTATTGGAAATAACCACCCGATAAATACTTTTCTGGGAAAGTATCTTTAAATGTTTATTAAATTTAAGCTGTTTTTATATAAACCTATCATTCATTCAATTTGACTGCGCGAGATATGACTTTTCTACAATATGTGGAACCAATAATCAGTTAAAGAAATGAAATCGAATGGCGTTTAACGTCCTACTGTTCTGCTCCGAACTGGGCTAAAGAAGACGGTAATACACCATACAGTGTGCTATGAGGGAAATTTTGCCCGGACAGCGGCACTACAGCATACTCCTATATCGAATTCCAACTGTCAAGGGATATTTTACGTGCACGCCAATGTGTACACGGTACCTCGGGTTTTCGTCCCATCCGAACGACTAGGCAGCTGTCCTTGTCAGGCCCTCCGTCCTGCATCAGTTTAAAGACATAACATTGTCGCAGAAACCATATTACTTCATAAGTGTGTCAAGTTTCAAGACAATCGGTTAAGAATTACGGCCACAAAATATTAACAAAAATGGGTGTGGCACTGAACCCACGGGGCTTGGGCATGGAGCAATCCTGTTGTTGAAATGATTGATTATGCCGAATGTAAACCAATTCTACTAATAATTGCGTGTAAGGTATGGTGTAAGGTATGGGTGAGCAAAGTTCCAAGAAGATTCATTCAAAAGTGTGGCCTGTAGACGATAAACCTAAAAACTGGGCGTGCACCAAAGCATTAGTGATCATCCTAAGCGTCTGCGGAATAAGTATGCACAGTTTTAAGGCGA